AAGACCCCATCTCTACTAAAAACAGAGAAAAAAATTAGATGGATAACTAAAAACCACATAGTTAGGCATTGTGGCACATACCTGTAGTCCCAGCTACTTGGAAGGCTGAGGCAGGAGGATCGCTTGAGCCCAGGAGTTTGAGATCCTGTGAGCTAGGCTGATGCCACAGCATCTAGCCCAGGCAACACAGTGAGATATTGTCACAAGAAAATATAGAAAATCAAAATGGTTTTGAAAAATTGAGGAAGTATAAACTGAAAAAGCATAGTTGGAAATAAAAGAAGCAGAAATGAAACAACCAAAATAAAGACATTCAATGTAAAATGTTTGGGTTAAAAATTTAATTATATTGAGCTCACAGAAGGATTAGTGAGGTAGAATAAGTAGAAGTATGAAAATCATCAAAGAAAACTAACAAAAATGCCAATATAATTATAGATCTATCAAAATAGAATGAGAAGAGAAAATAATTTAATTGTACCACTAATGTACAAAAAACAATGATTACAGGAAAAAAATAAATGATTTACTAACCTCTAAAATTGAAACCCAGACATGTATCCATAAAAGAATAATAGCACTGTCTCAAAAGAGATAAATATTCCCATAACAGTCAAACTGCATAACACCAAAGAGAATCAAGAATAAAAATCTGTGAGACAGGGCAGAGAGAAGCCAGAAGGTTAAAAGCAAAATCTGCACAGCTTGTGTAGAGAGAAGAAACAGAAATAAAGAAAAAGTGGTGAAAGAAATTATTGTTCAACCTGTAATTGGATACTTACCTAGACTATCTTTAACAAATAAGGGCACTCAAAAATATTTTGAGAAGTAAATAAATAAATGAATATAAAGTAAAGCATTGATAGATTTTATAATCAATAGGAGTTTCTGAAGTATATACCTCAACAGGTAGAAAGTTTTCTTATATGAAGAACAGAGATTATTAGGGATACATACCTTGCCCCTGGAGCTTCTAGCGTGTCCAGCCTCTAGGTGGTGCGCACCACACCCCCCGTGTAAGTACATCCCTTCCCCTCCTCGCCCCTCCACCTGCCCACTTCCCCATTACAGATTTTCTTTCAGACATTTTGGCTACAATGTATATCCTTGCCTCTCCCTAAAAAGAGATAGAGGTAATCCCTTCCCCCCACAGTGCTCACCACTTCCTTAAGATGTGGGTCACCCCCCACCCCCAAATCCCTGTTGAACACTACCGTATTTTGAGCACCACAGTTTTAGTCAGTCTGTACCAACTTGATGGCGAGTAGATGTGGAGCCCATTGTCCAGATCTTGTGTCGTCTCGCTTTGTATCACAGGCTTAAGCTTAATCCAGGATAGCATAAACGGTGGTAGCTCACTGTCGTTTCTTAGGATTGAGTAATATTCCATTGTGAGCATATACCACATTTTAGTCATCCACTCATGAATTGATGGGCACTTGGGTAGTTTCCATGACCGTGCAATAGTGAATTGTGCTGCCATAAACATTTGGGTGCAGATGTCTTTATAATAGAGAGACTTATTTTCTTCTGGGCAGATGCCCAACAATGCTATTGCTGGGTCGAATGAGATTTCTATTTCTAGCTGTTTGAGGTATCTCCAAATTCTCTCCCACAAAGGTTGCACTAATTTACAGTCCCACCAGCAGTGTAAGAGTGTTCCTGTCTCTCCACATCCTTGCCAGCATTTGTTGTTTTTGGATTTCTTGGTACAGGCCATTCTCACTGGGATTAGGGGATATCTCATGGTGGTTTTGATTTGCATTTCTCTAATGATTAGAGATGTTGAATTTTTTTTATATGTTTGCAGGCCATTATTCTGTCTTCTTTGGAGAAGTTTCTGTTCATTTCCATTGTCCATTTCTTGATGGCAGTGTTTGATTTTTTTCTTGTTTATTCTTTTAAGTTCTAGATAGATTCTTATTATTAGACCTTTATCAGAAGTCTAGAGAGTGAATATTTTCTCCCACTCTGTCGGTTGTCTATTTGCTCTAATGGTCATTTCCTTGGCATTGCAGAAACTTTTTAGTTTGATCAGATCCCATTTGTTTATTTTTGATGTGGTAGTGATTGCCTCGGGGGTCTTCCTCATGAATTCCTTGCCTAGACCAATATCTGATAGGGTTTTCCCAACATCTTCTTCTAGGATTCTTAAAGTTTCATGCCTTAGGTTTCGCTCTGTTATCCATCTTGAGAGAAATTTTTGTGAGAGGTGAGAGGTTGGGATCCTGATTTGCTCTTCCGCATGTTGCTAACCAGTTTTCCCAGCACCAATTATTGAAGAGAGAATCTTTTTGCCAAAGTATATTTTTGTCTGCTTTATCAAAGATTAGGTTACCATATACAGATGGTTTCATCTCTGGAATCTCAGTTCTATTCCAGATATCGATGCTTCTGTTCTTGTGCCAGTACCACGCAGATTTTACTATTATTGCTTTATAGTACAGTTTGAAGTCAGGAAGACTGATGCCTCCCAGTTTGTTCTTTTTACTTTATGCGTGGTTTCATCTGGTTCCATATAAAGTGAAGAATTATTTTTTCTAGATCTGTTAAGAATGCTGGTGGTATTTTGATGGGTATTGCATTGATTCTGTAGATCACCTTAGGTAATATTGACATTTTAACAATATTGATTTTACCAATCTATGAACATGGTAGATTTTTCCATCTGTTTAAATTATCTGCAATTTCTTTTTTTAGTGTTTTTTAGTTCTCCATGTATAAATCTTTCGTCTCTCTCATTAAGTATACTCCTAGGTATTTAGTTTTCTTTGGGGCTAAAGTAAAGGGTATTGCATTTTTTATTTGAGTTTCTGCTTCATGGTTCTTGGCATATATGAATACTCTTGATTTGTGTGTATTGGTTTTTTAAACTGAACTTTACCAAATTCATTTCTGAAATCTAGGGGTCTCTTGGATGAATCCATGGGGTTTTCTAGATATAATATCATATCATTGGTAAAGAGTGTGAGCTTGATCTCATCTGCTCAGACTTGGATGCCCTTAGTACCCCTCTCTTGCCTGATTGCTATCACTAGGACTTGGAACACTCTTATGAATAGGAGTGGAGAAAGTGGGCATACTTGTCTAGTTCTGGTTGGAAGAGGGGATAATTTTAATTTTTCCCCATTTAGGATGATATTAGCAGTGGGTTTGTCATAAATGGATTTGATGAATTTAAAGTATGGTCCGTCTATGCCTATTATGTTAGGAGTTTTTATCATAAAGGTATGTTGAACTTTGTCAAATGCTTTTTCTGCATCTATTGACAGAATCATATGGTCTTTGTTCTTGCTTTTATTTATAAAGTGAATGGCATTTATAGAATTGCGTATGTTGAACCAGCCTTATATCCCAACAATAAATCCCACTTGGTCATGGTGAATTATTTTTTGATGTGCTGCTGAATTTTATTTGCTAAAATTTTATTTAGGATTTTTGCTTCTATATTCATGAGGGATATTGGTCTGTAATTTTCTTTTTTTGTTGCATCCTTTCCTGGCTTTGGTATCAAAGTGATATTGGCTTCGTAGAATGAGTTAGGCAGAATACCATCCTTCTCAATGGTGTGGAATAGTTTCTGTAGTATAGGTATGAGTTCATCTTTGTATGTTTGGTAGAACTCTGAAGTGTAGCCATCTGGCCCAGGACTTTTCCGTTTGGGGAGGTATTTAATTACTGCTTCAATTTCTGATCATGTGATTGGTCTGTTCAAGAACTCAGTTACCTCCTGGCTGAATTAAGGAGGTTGTATGAATCCAGGAATCTGTCCATTTCATCTTCATTCTGTAGTTTTTGGGCATATAGATTTCTATAGTAGTCAAACATAATGTTTTGTGTTTCTGTGGAGTCTGTTGTGATTTCTCCTTTTTCATTTCTTATTGAGTTTATTAGAGTCCTTTCCCTTTGAGTTCTTGTCAGCCTAGCCAGAGGGCCGTCAATTTTGTTGATCTTTTTGAAAAACCAGCTTCTGGTTTTGTTGATTTTCCATATAATTCTCTTGTTTTCCATTTCATTTGGTTGAGCTTTGATCTTAGATATCTCTTTTCTTCTGCTCAGATTGGAGTTGGTTTGCTCTTCTTTTTCTAATTCCTTGAGTCTATTCATTAGATTGTCGGTGTCTACAATTTCTGTTTTTTGGATGTGAGCGTTAATTGCTATTAGTTTTTCTCTCAGATATGCTTTTGCTGTATCCCACTGGTTTTGGTAAGATGTGGCTCCATTGTCATTTTGTTCAAAGAAGTTCTTAATCTTACTCCAATTTCAATCCTCTCAATAAATGTGAATGGTTTAAACTGTCCTCTGAAGAGACATAGGCTGGCAGAGTGGATAAAATTCCACAAGCCTTGTATTTGCTGTCTACAGGAAACACACCTAAACCATAAAGATGCCTCCCGGCTGAAGATCAAGGGATGGAAAACTATCATCTAGGCAAATGAAAGGCAAAAGAAAGCAGGGGTATCGATATTATTCACAGACAACATTAGGTTTGAATTAGCAAAAGTAAAAAAAGATAAAGATGGCCACTTTATAATGGTGAAAGGGAAAATACAATAAGAAGATCTAACAATTCTTGATATTTATGCACTCAATGCAGGAGCACCCAATTACATAAAGCAAACCTTGTCTGAGCTAAATGCCACTTTAAACAATACTACCATAATAGCAGTGGACTTAAACACACCACTAAATGAACCAGATAGATCCTCCAAACAGAAGTTAAGTAAAGAGATAAGGGACCTAAACAAAGCTATTGACCAAAAAGGTCTGACAGATCTATAGAGAACATCCCACCCAAATAACGCTGAATTTACATTTTTCTCAGCAGACCATGGATCCTTCTCCAAAATTGATCACATACTAGGCTGCAAAGCAGATCTCAAAAAATTCAAGAAAATAAAAATAATACCATGTGTCTTCTCTGATCATAGTGGTATAAAATTAGAGTTTAATTCTAACAGAAATACACACTACATCACTAAGTCATGGAAACTAAACAATCTACTGTTGAATAATTGTTGGGTCAAGGAAGAAATTCAGAGGGAAATCAAAATGAATATTAACACACTTCTAAAACATGGAACACTAAATCAAGGTGGAAACTAAGGAAACCAGAAAGTCTTTGCCAGCGTCTATTTAAAAATATATAGGTATTACAAAACCGCCATTTTGCATGTTTTAAGTGAATCAAATAACAAGTTCTCTGCTATGTGAGTAGTTTAACTGAAGGCAGAAACACCCAATTTTCAGAGAACTAATTTTATTATTTCGTTAAAAATCTATGAGCTTTCTGTTCATATGTTGCAGAGTACTGATTATTCTTTTATCAAAAATGATTATCAGTAAAGGACTCACTGTGGCATAGGTATTCACCACCAGCGTCAGGACATCCAACATGACTGGGCTGATTGTCACCAATAATATGGAAAAAGAGGAGATGATGAGGTCCACCCAGTACATGACCACAAAAAAACTCATCAGGAGCAGGATGATCTGGGTGGCCCTTTTCTCCGGGGAGATGCTCGGGGAGAGGGACATGTTGTGCAGGTGCTGGGATCGCCTCTGATGCCTGAACAAGAGAGTCACCATGTACACACTCGAGAGCAGCATGCCGCCTACAAAGGAGATGTCTCTGAATTGTATCAGCCTAAAAAACAGGCTCTGCTTAAGGGAGCTTGCAGAGGAAAGTGAGCAGTATTTACCAAAACTCAGCAGTTGAGTCTGGGTCACATTAGAAGCAGCCACAGTAAAGAAGAGCAGGTTACTACTGAAGGAAAAACAGAGAATCCATGAAAAGAGTAAGGAATGGATGACGTAGCGTCTGGATTTCTGTTTGAACCGGCCCAACCAGGAGGAGCTGGGGCTGATGGTGACGGCCTGGAGCATGCTCAGGAGGCAGGTGGTGCAGATGGAGAGGCCCCGCATCACCCTGCTCAGGTAGAACAGAGCCTTACACTTGACGTCATTCTGCAAACGCAGGGACTCAAACGGGCCTGGAGAAAGAAACAGCATGGTGAGCAGCATCAGTATGTGGACGAGGGCCAAGTTACCGGTGAGCAGGTCGTGGGGCTTCGGCCTGTGATCCAGAAAGAGCGTGAGGGTGCGGAAGAGGAGGAGGAAGGTGTTGGCTGTGAGTCCAATGCCAGCTTGCAAAAGAAAGGCATTTTTTAATGCTAACATAAGTGAAAAGTGATTTAGTGGCATCAAGAAAATATTTTTTCTATCTGCAAAAAAATTAATAGATATATCATCAATTTTTTGTTCAGTAGACTAACCATCAACAATATTTTTACTTCACCTAATTATAATTATATTTTATAGTTTCTATGCCATGTAAAATTTTTAGGGGTTTTCATAACCCTGTATTTTTTAATAGCCCTGATTATCCAATATGAATTATTGAAAATAAAGCCTCAGGAATATTTTCTCTACAAAATAACACACACATGTATGTTTGTATGTATATATCATTTATATATCCTGTATATTATATATATCTATCCCACCAACATATCCACTATTTTGCCTCAATATAATGCCAACTATGTATGTTTCTACTTGACTTGGGCCTCCATCTCCAGAAAATTTGTTTATTCTTCTGTATTATTTCATGTAATATTTAGACCACAAAGAGTGATGGGCATATAAGATTACTCACTATTATATGTAAAGCTGAACTGAATGACATTTTACGCTGATGAGAAAAGACTCAACAACACATTTAGAAAAAAACCCATGTGCATCTCACAGCACATCACCTTCACACCTTCTATTTTCATCTCTCTTTCATTTTTATGGAAATCTATGCTTGTTGCCTTCCACATGATAATAAAGCATCTGCCTCTTTTATATAAGAAGATTTTTAGCAAGGTGGATTTCATTTGCAATCTTATTTCTCTTTTCTATAACATCTAACCTATTCACAAGTACTAGAGATTTAGGATGTATTTTCGCCAGGAGGCATGAGTTCACTTACCACAAGTCCTTATACTGCTATTTCCCCAAAATGACCCTCTCTCTGTTTAGTTTCCAATCCAGAGATATCACATGCAGACTCACTTCATCTTAGGAGTGGATTGCTAAAGTCCAGCTCTCAATGATCAGAACTGGAACTACATTTATCCATTATACGACATTCATAGATGTGCATCAGAATAGTCACATAATATTTATCCAAAATGTTTGTGCTCCCATAATATTCTGAAATTAAAGTCAAGAATAATCACATAGTGGTCCTTTCATTGAGACTTCACTTAGTGTACAGGCAGCCTCTCATTCAAGAAAAAGTATTTAGGTTGTCAGTATCACATACTTCACGTCAAATTTTATCAGGATATCACCAAAATCATAACACTGTAAAATATTTCACTAGATAATTTTGCAGGGATTATCTCATGTTATTTGTCCTAGATGCAGGCATCATTACTTGATGAAATTAGTTTAATACACAGCTTAGAAGACTTCAACTGTATGAGAGGAAAAACGGAGAAGCAACACAACTTAGAGACTGATCATAAAGTCTGGATTTAGGTCACACAGCTGAGTTAAAGACAAAGACTGCACTGAAATGAAGACTTTTACAGGAACCTAAGAGCTATTTCACATGGAAATATACTCTTTTGAAGAAAGTGAAGCTTGGTAAATCCTTTTCCTTTTTCTATTTAATAGTAAGTAATATTAGAGTTGTGTTATTTAATGTTTGATTTTATTTGAAGAGAGATCTTCACACTTCGCTTCATGCAGATTTAAGATTATAATGTATATGATGAAATCCTGTTTTTGTTATCTTAATTTAAGGTGGCCTTTTATCATGTTGTATGAATAGCACTGTCAATCCTATGACCAGACACGCCCAGCAAAAGGTGGCTCTGAAAACTGCAGGTGACAAGGCGAGGGAGTCTGCTGGTTTAGTGGCAGTGGTTGCCAACACGAGAAACACAGCTGACAACCCTAAGAAAAGAGATCACCTTTTTCACCCAAGTGAGCTCCAAACGAATAACTTCTGCAATGTACGAATACCAAGACACTAAGTAGGATGAGCATCAGACCCCACTGGGTAGCAGCGACCCATCCTCTACTCTCTGGCTGCTGAACTTAGCCTGGGTGAGGCCGGAATCCCAACCCTGCTGACTCCACACTGCTCAGGGCCTCTAACCCTCAGCTCCCCGAAGAAAAGCCGAGGCAGGGACAGTGTCACCACAGGTGGTGGAGGCAGAGAAAGAGCGGAAGGGATTGAAATATAGTCCAGTATAATAAATTGGGGAAAACCTAAAATTTCTATAGGTAGTGTGTTTTTCTCTGACCACTTTAGCCTAGAGGATATCAGCAAAGAATAACACTGCTTCTTTTTTTCTTAAAGGTTTTCTTTTCTATCTTTTCTTCTTTTTTTCCATCATGTTCCTGTGCATCACAGTAACATGGCACAGAGAGTCATACCAACTGTTACAAACTTTGAAGTTAGAGAGAAATTTCCAATTTGGAATTTAGTGGAAAGCATTCTCTGTTCTGACATATCCTGATTAGGATCATCTGTGCTCTGTCCCCACTGACATTAGCCTCCCTAAATGTATGAAATTCAGGGGCTTTAGTTTTAAACAATTTTAAATGTTTACAATAAACCTCTCTGTCTTCAGAGACAGAGAGGTTTCCTACCCTTCAAGTTCCTTCAGAGTTTGACACCCTCACATGCCACAAATGAAAAATACCTATTAATATATTTCTTCTGTCCCAGTCTTATTCCATTCTCTCTGCATAACCTTAGTAAAAATATATGCTAAACTATACTATTAATATCTTTACTGAACTCAAATATCTTTACTGAACTCAAATGCTTAAGATTTTAAATGATTAAATTAAAATATGTAAATATTAGTTTTAATAAATTACAATTTGAAACTCTCAGAAAGAACAGCAGAAAAACAACATTTAGAGGATATTTTTAATAATTGGACTCAATGTCTACCAAACATGAAAATGATTACTCTTTCATTACTAAACAATCTTATCTAAACACATGTAGAAAAGTGTTATAAAAATATAATTCACTTAGAAGACATGAAATACTGAAAAGAGTTTTTTTATGGAAGTATTTAAAAGCATGCTTAAAGTTATCAGATCACTTCATGTAGGATATTCATTAACTCTTCAAATATTTGATATATCACAAAAACTGATATTTCCAGACAGTTTTATGGTAACCTCCCCAAATTTCATTGTAACAGAATAAAACAAAGTAATCTTTATGGTAAACTGATAAAATATAAGTAATATAAAATGGTTAAAGCATCTAATTTTATGATATTATAATTCTAAGCAGTAATTATATGTTATAAATATACTAAGGTGTCATCAAACCTAAAAGAACAAAGAAGCATGACTAAGTCACTTTCAATTTCTTCAGATTTCCTGCATTATAAAAAGGTAAATTTCACTTAATGTAATGCAGCAAGTTCCATTGATAACAATTAATTAATAAGAAACTCAAACACATTCCAGTTCAAGTACAACATCACAAAACTATGAACGTTCTTGAAAAATTCTGTAATTTAATGGCCTCATAAGATCTATAGAACACATCTTTCATTTGGAAAAATCTAATAGAGTTAGTCGCAATTCATAGAGATGTGAGTGAAATGACGAGGAGAGACTCTCCCAGCTCTTCACTGAGACAATCCTGCCTCCTCCCCTCCCTCCTCCCCCAGGCCTTGAGCTCTCACCGCTGCTGAAGCAGAGAGACACACACTCACCCAGCTGAGTCTGCCGCGGGAGTCTGTGCCTGAGACGGGCCGAGACATGGTTATGAGGAAGGGGCGCCACCAGCTCCTCTCCCCCAAGGCCCCAATTGTCGTGTCATCTGTGGAGTCAGGACCGCCCTTGCCTTGGGATTGCTGGAAAGGGGAGCCCACAGGGGAACTGAACTCCTAATTCCTGGAAAACAGCAGGTGAGGAACAGCTGGGCTGCAAACTCCCCTGTGAGCTCCTTGTCCTGATCACCAGCCTGGTGGGTTGGGAGTCTCCAGCTCCCCCTGATGCAAACACGAGTAGATGCCCCTCCCAGTTCTCAGTGTGTCCCCACTGGGGCAGGTGGTTCCCGGTGGTCTTCACACGTGCCCTCAGTGACCTCTGGCTGTGAGGGTCTAAACTAGATGACAAACAGCTTTGAAAGAGTAAGGACGACGCCACCTCTGCCACAGGGCCTCGTCCTCCAGGGACACAGGGCACTGCTGTTGGGGGCAGAAGGCAGGAGCAACGTCAGCTAGGCCTGAAGTTGCCTTCATCTTGCTTAAATTATGAATATAACAAAATCTTAGGCCGGGCGTGGTGGCTCACTCCTGTATTCCTTGGACTCTGGGAACCAAGGCATGTAGATCACTCAAGGTCAGGAGTTTGAAACCAACCTGTGCAAGAGGGAGACCCCATCTCTACTAAAAATGGAAAGAAATTAATTAGCCAACTATCTATATATACAAAAATTAACCAGGCTTGGTGGCGCATGCCTGTAGTCCCACCTACTCGGGAGGCTGAGGCAGGAGGACGCTTGAGCCCAGGCGTTTGAAGTTCCTGTGAGCTCGGCTGAGGCCACAGCACTCTAGCCCGGGCAACAGAGTGATACTCTGTCTCAGAAAAACACAAAAAATGAAAAAACTTAACTTGGTTCATTTCTGGTAAATAATTATGTTGGACAAATATAAAAGTTAACCGCAGCCAATCCCAAATAGCCACCAGCACGTGGCTATGCGACTTGGGACTTTCTAAAGAAGACAAACCAAAGACGCCCAATCAATACGCATCTCTGGGCCTTGCCAGGGCTGTGCCGCACCCCGCACTGGGCTCCCTGCTCCCTGGAGCGAGGCGAGCAGGCGAGGGTGGGAGTGGGCCTTAAGCCAGGCAGACGGATGAGCCTGTCCCGTTTCCTTTCAGGGAAATGCCAACCTGTCTAGACCCTCTTGCCGTCCCCACCCCCTGCCACTGCTGGCCTCAAGCCAGCCTGCACTGCCCGGAGATGCCCACCAGGACGGCGTGTGAACCGTGGGGAAGGTTGGCCTCGGTCCAACACTAACAGAAAGTCTTCAGGAGTAAATGAAGAACACCAGTAATGTTAAGTACATAGTAAAATATAAGTCCTTACTGTACCTTTGGTTTGCAAATAGAAGTTTTCTCTTAATTTTCTTTGCGTGTTCTAAAGGAGTAATGCAGGAAACAGTAATGATAACTTTGTCCTCAAAGAAAGAAAAAACCCTATATTGATGGTCAGAGGCCACAAGCCCCATATATTATATATTTTCTTTATTCCCTTTTCTCAAGCCTCATGACTTAAGTAATTTTCTAAAGGTAAAGTTTCCAGACGGAAACCATGTGACCTATAAGTGATACTTAATTGAGAATATGTACTGTCAGTGGACATTTCTAGAAAATTCCTCATTTACAAAATATAGAATAGCCCCTCAACACTCACTTGCACAGTTACATAGCCGTCAGCCTCCACTGCGGACTCACGCCTGCCCTCCCGTCAATCACAGGTGGATGGGTCACACGGAATAAGGGAACACGTGAAAGAGCTCCAGTGAAAGCAGCCGTCGCTACTAAGCAGGATCGTGGAGGAATTAATTTTTTTGAAGTTTCTCCCATCTCCTATCTAAATTTTTTGTATGACTTCGTTTTTATGTTCTGCTTGGTGGCATTAAAGCAAGAGCACAGTAGTTTTTGTAATGTATTATTAGAGTACAGGGTGTTGTTATCACTGTATCACGCTGCACTATTCTTACCACACTGCGCCCTTACAGTGCTGTTGTCACTGCCTGTGCTGCTCTTCCGGGATCTGAGTTCATACAAACCCAACCTAACGGCGTTCCCAGGACAGTGTCTCTTCCAATACCCAATGTACAATGTGCTTTGTAAAAGAATCTGTAATTCAGTTTGGGAATTACCTTGAAAAGGTTCAGGTCTGCATCATGTCAACGTTTATCTAAGCATTTTCACATGCAGAAGAGCATGTACTGAATAATCAGGGTCAGCTACCAAAAGCATGAGGGAAACAAGTTCAGATTACTGATTTCTAGGCTCCAGTTTCTTTTTTTCACTAACGTACGACCTCTACCCCTTTTAGAGAAAAGAATGAAAAGTCATGGAGTATAATGTTAAATTTTCTGATGAACACATAAATTCTTTTTGAATGCTCACATTTTATCTTTGAAAAGATCACACGGGCAGGGAATGGTGGCTAAAGCATGTAATCTTGCACTCTGGGAGGCCAAGGTGGGAGGATTGTTTGAGTTCAGGAGTTTGAAAGCAGCCTGAGCAAGAGCGAGACCCCATCTCTCCTAAAAAAAAATACAAAGAAATTAGCTGGGCAAAACTAAAAATTATATATACATAAAAAAATTTTACTGGATATGATGGTGCATGCCTGTAGTCCCAGCTACTCGGGAGGCTGAGGCATTAATATTGCTCAAGCCCAGGAGTGTGAGGTTGCTGTGAGCTAGGCTGATACCACGGCACTCTAGCCTGGGCAACACAGTGTGACTCTGTCTCAGAAAAAAAAAAAAATTATGTAAAGTCAGTAAGAAAAGAAAAAATAGAAAATCAAAATGATTTTGAAAAACTAGGATATTATGAACTGAACCACCATATTTGGAAATAAATGAGGCAGAAATTAAACAAAAAAATTCATCAATATGGGTCGCTGCACCTTGCCAGGGCTGTGCCCCACGCCGCACTGTGGTTCCTGCTCCCTAAAGAGTGGTGAGTGGACGAGAGTGGGACATGGCCTTGCGCCAGGCAGGGGCATGTGCCTGTCACACATCCTAGCAGGAGAACCAGGAGAACGACTGGGTCTGTACTCCCTCCTGCACGCCCCACTCTCTGCCCACTGCTGGCCCAAAGCCAGCCTGCACTGCCCAGCGATGCCCACCAGGACGTGGCTGGAGACCTGGGGAAGGTTGGCCCCAGGCCATGCAGGGGTGCACAGCCTTCCCCGGGCCCCCAACATCCAGGCCCCAAGACCACCCGCAAACCACCCAGGAGCAGGGACATCGCACTCCAGATGTGGCTCCTGGCCTCCCCAAGCCAGGCGGGGCAGGGGTGCAGGGACAGCTGCAGCCAAGCTCAGGACAGGAGGAGGCGCGTGGCCTTGGTCCCGGCCCTGTCCCTCGCTGTCCTGTGCTCCATTCAGGGCCTGGTCCTCTCCTTGGGAACCTCGTGAGCCAGCCTCCCCTTATCCCACTGGAGGGATGACAGGGTGTGGGAAGGGCCTGCCTTCCCAAGGAGCTTGGGACTGGAGGGGCCTAGGTGTGAGCCCAGGTGGCCTGGTGTCAGTCTGTGACATTAACCCTGCATGACCCTGCCTCTCCTGCAGCCACCCCGATGGCTGGCACTGGGACTGGTCTGCCCTGGGATTTCTCTCAATGAGCAAGCGCCTTCCAACGGGGCCACCCTAGAGGCTGCAGGACCACTGTGGTCCCGTTGTGGGAACAGACCTGCAACCACCCTGTTCCTGGAGCAAGACCACTCAGGACCTTCCACACAGCCTCAGTTTCCTCATCTGCAGACAGGTGGGAAGGGAGCAGTGGCCATCCAGGTGAGCGGGGGTGGAAGAACTTCCCAGGCTGGACAGAGCCCAGGCAGCGCCTGCCAGAGACGAGGGCCCACCCCACTTCCTGCAGTGTGGCTGCGGCAGCCGCAGGCGCCTCTGGCTCCCTGAGCCTCGGCCTCCCCACGCCTGCGCCTGCCTTGAGGGACGCTGAGAACAGGGACAGGGACATGCAGGAAAGGTGCCGTGTGCAGGACCTCCGTGACCAACATTGGGAACTACTCTTCTGTCCTGGAAGGGAGGATGATTGAGCCCAAATAAGGGGATTTAGGTCAAGAGTCTGTAGGAAAATTCAGCCTTTGCTCACAGTCTTCACTCTGAATCCAGAAGCTCAGGTGACGGATCCTCGCTGCTGCTGTTACCCAGGAGGGAGGTTTCACTCTGGACCTGGAGGGAAGAAAACGGGCTTCTTCCTCTTAGAGATACTTGTCAGTTACCAATTTAAAAAGTGTATTCTTTCTCAGTTGTGTTATATTAATATTTTTGAAAATAATATTTTATTAATAACTCTTCATTATGGCATAATTGAAGCACAATGAAGTGAACATACCAAGAGTCCCACATTTAGTGTGCGATCGGATGAGCTGTGCAGTGTGTGTACATCCATGAATCCACATCCACAATCGAGATGGTGATTGTATTCGTTACCCCAAAAGTTTCCTCACACCTCTTGGTAATCCCAGGCTCCTGACTCTCCCTGCCCGCCCCATCCCCAAGCAACCATTGATCTGCATCCCGTCCGATAGATTAGTTTGCATTTTCTAGATTTGTCACTATATGGAATCATACAGCATGTACTTTTTATTTTATTTTTATTTCAGCATATTATGGGGGTACAGATTTTAAGGTTTCCATAAATGCCCAATTCCCCCCCTCTCCCCACAAGTCTGAGTCTCCAGCATGACCATCCCCCAGATGGTGCACATCTCATTAATTATGTATGTATATGCCCGCCCCCCTCCTCCCTCCCACCTGCCCAATACCCTATTACTGTAGTACCTATGTGACCACTTAGGTGCTGTTCAGTTAATATCAATTTTCTGGTGAGTATTTGTGGTGCTTGTTTTTCCATTCTTGGGATACTTCACTTAATAGTATGGGTTCCAGCTCTAACCAGGAAAATATAAGATGTGCTATATCACCATTGTTTCTTAGAGCTGAATATTACTCCATGGTATACATATACCACATTTTATTAATCCATTCTTGGATTGATGGGCACTTGGGCTGTTTCCACAGCCTTGCAATTATGAATTGTGCTGCTATAAACACTCGAGTGCAGGTGTCTTTTTTGTAGAGTGTCATTGGATCTTTTGGGTAGATGCCCAGCAATGGGATTGCTGGATCAAATGGTAGATTCACTTGTATCACTTTAAGGTATCTCCATATTGCTTTCCACAGAGGTTGAACTAGTTTGCAGTCCCACCAGCAGTGCAGGAGTGTTCCTCTCTCTCCGCATCCATGCCAGCATTTATTGTTTGAAGACTTTTTGATAAAGGCCATTCTCACTGGAGTTAAGTGATGTCTCATTGTGGTTTTGATTTGCATTTCCCTGATGATTAGAGATGTTGAGCATTTTTTCATATGTTTGTTGGCCATAGCACATCTTAACCAGCAATTTGGGAAAACACATCACATTTTCCCCCTCCATAGCAGTTTAAGTAGCCCAATTAGTTAAGTGTCCCTGTTAATGATCTATTTACAGAAGGCCATTTTCTAAGCTAAAATACAGAAAATAAAATTAAATAATAACACCAAAAAAGGGCATTTTTGTTGTTGTTTTTTATAATCAACAGCTTTAGTAAAATACAGTGAGAAAATTATAATTTTTTAAAAAAAGTACTGCCCGAATAAAGTTTGATAAAGGACATCTGAAGTGTGATTATTATTATTTTGAGTATAATATCCAACCACGTTCTGCAAGTTACGTCAGATAGCTTAGTGAGAATTGAAGAAATGCCAACTGCCATGGTTTCCATACATTTTACATCACCTATATGACTTCTTAAAACCCACAACAGCATCAAGGCTTTTTTTCTGCTTTTTTTTTTTTTGTGTGTGGCAAAGTCTCAGTGTGTTGCCGGGCTAGAGTGCCGTGGCATCAGCCTAGCTCACGGCAATCTCAAACTCCTGGGATCAAGTGATCCTCCTGCCTCAGCCTCCGAATAGCTGGGTCTACAGGCAAGGGCCACCATGCCCCGTTAATTAGTTATATATTTTTTTAGTTGTCCAGCTAACTTCTTACTAATTTTAGTAGAGTCGTGGTCACGTTCTTGCTCTGACTCCTCTCGAACTCCTGACTTCGAGCAATCCTTCTGCCTCAGCCTCCCAGAGTGCTAGGATTACAGGCGAGAGCCACCATGTCTGGTCATGAAGTCTTAACAAACACAAATTTTAATTTCTGAACACTCCTCTAGTAAGATTTGTAAAGGTGGAGGAAAAATTAAGGGACTTTATTTTTGTATTCTTTGTCTACTTCATGAAAATGTAATCTTCAAAGAGTGTTTTATTGGCTATCCACCCTGCTAATTAAGGTTAAGATAAGTGCATTGTTTCTTTCCAGGGTAAAGAATGATATTTTAAAATGACAGAATTGCTATGACATAAATTGTTTAAGTATGGGCATCAACTGAAAACATTAGTACATTTAAGAATTCTAAATATTGGTATACCACCACCGCGCCTAATCTCCTTTATTATTGCAAGGACTAAAGGGAAATTTTAAATCGATTTTCATATTACTGAAATTGAAATCGAATAAAATAACTGACTTGGAAACCATCACAAGGGTACAAATATTTAGCCAGAGATATCAGTTCCTCATAAAAATGAACATTCACCTCCTCTTATTGAAATTTTACTGAAGTTACGTTAGTCATTTCAAATAGACTTTAACATTAGCCTTAAATCAGAAACAAACGAAAGGACTAGTGACACTGACGGAATCTACTCACATGCTCAAGTTTGCTGACGGAATCATAGGCACACCGTACACTATCAATAAATAATCCCTACCGGGTTCTAAGTAAAACAATAGAAATGCAAGCTAGTCTTCGCCGTGGAAACACGCAGAGCCACTTCCCGCAGTTGCTGTGGGGTGCGTGTCGTTGTTCTGCTCTTTCATGACGGAGTCACCCTGTCACCCCGGGGGGAGCGGCGGCCTCACACAGGCCCGCGGTCTCGCCGCAGAGCCAGCCCTGCTCCTGCCGCGGCCTCCGGAGGGCCGGGACACAGGCCGACCCCGCGCCGCCCGGAGCCGCCGTCAGCGGTTCCACCCGCGGACACCGCACGTCCCGCACCGCCCAGCGGGCGCGGCCCACGGCCAGTGCGGGGCTCTGGGCCTCTCGGCTCCGGGCCTGGCGCCCTGGGCTCGGTGGGGCGGGGTCACGCACGGGGTCACGTCCGTGATGACGTCCTTCCGGCTCTGTGAGCCCGCCCCCCTCACAGCCAGGCCTCCCAGCGAAGTGCGCGGGCGTCCGGAGAGGAGGCGAAGGGAAGGTGAGTGTGACGGAAACAAAAGTGGAAACGGTTCGAGCACGTGGAAAGGCCGACCACCCTGGCACCCACACACCCATTGCTCAATGTGAACAGTTAGGAAGAGTGAGTGGGATGAGGCCGCAACGTGTGGAAGAGGAGTCCAGGGAACAGCAGCAGTCACCTGCTAAGGCAGCGTGTGATTCATGTGAAATGGAAAGACTACTGATTCCGTCAGAACGATCCCCAAACCCAAGCTCGTGACATCTCCTATCCACCTGGTGTTGAGGGCCTCACAGGTAGTGGCCAGTGTCCAACACTTTGGGTCATTCTTTTTTTTTTTTCCTGACCTTTCACTTTCCCCCAAATTCTGTGTGTACAAATATTGTTACGCGGTCTACCATCATCTTGCCCCTGCGCCCCCCTCCCACCCCGCTCTGCCAGAGCTTCAGAGCGTGTCCAGTGTCTTCAGGTCGGTGCCCCCTGCACCCACCATGAAAGTGCGTACCCCTCCCCTCTCCCCACTTCCGCCTGTTCACCTCCCATTAACAACATTTGTTTTTTAGACATTGTGGTTACAGTGTGTTTCTTTGCCTCTCCCTAAAAAGGGATAGAGGTAATCCTTTCCCCCCTACAATGCTCATCACATCCTTAAGACGTGGGTCTCTCCCTCAGATCCCTGTTGAACACTACAATTATTTGGACACCATAGTTTTAGGCTGTCCGTACCAAATTGATGGCGATAGATGTGTAGCCCATTGTCCAGGTCTTGTGTCGTCTCGCTTTGTATCACAGGCTTAAGCTTAATCCACGATAGCATAAACGGGGCTAGTTCACTATGTTTCTTAGGATTGAGTAATATTCCATTGTGAGCATATACCCATTTAGTTACCCATTCATGAATTGAGGGCACTTGGGTAGTTCCATGACCGTGCAATAGTGAATCGTGCTGCATAAACATTCGGGTGCAGATGTCTTTATAATAGGGTGACTAAATTTCTCTGATCTCTTGTCTTAAATTTTGTATGAATTTGTTTTTATGTTCTGTTTGGTTGCATTAAGGCAAAAGCACAATGATATTGTAACTTGTTGTTAGAGTGCAGGGTATTGTTGTCACAGTATTATACTGTGCTGTTCTTCACACGTGGAGCCCTTAGAGGTGTGTACCACTGCCTGCGTGCTGCTCACCCAGGATCTGAGAACATAAAATGAAACCTAATGACGCTCTCAGGACTGTATCTCTTCCAATAACCCGGGACCACGTGTACAATACTTTTTAAAAAAGAAACAGTAATTTGAGTTTGAGAATTACCTTGAAAAGGTTCAGGACTGCATCATGGAAACCTTTATCTAAGCATTTTCACATGTAGAAGAGGCTGTACTGCATAATCAGGGTCAACTACCAAAAGGATGAGGGAGACACATGACCAATTTCTAGGCTCCATTTTCTTTTTCTCACTAATGTACCACATATACGCGCTTATAGGAGAAAAGAATGGAAAAGTCATGGAGTATAATTTTAAATTTTCCAATGAACACATAAATTATTTTTGTATGCTCACATTTTATCTTTAAAAAGATCACACATGTGGGGAGTGGTGGTTCACGCCTCTAATCCTAGCACTCTCAGAGCGGAGGCAGGAGGATTGTTTGAGCTCAGGTGTTCAAAACCAGGCTGAGCAAGAGCGAGTCCTCATCTCTACTAAAAACTAGAAATTAGCTTGACAACTAAAATATATATATACATAAAAAATTACCTTGGCATGGTGGTGCATTCCTGTAGTCCTAGGTACTTGGGAGGCTGAGGCAGAAGGGTTGCTCAAGCCCAGCACTTTGAGGTTGATGTGAACTAGGCTGACGCCACGGCACTAATGCTCAGGCAAGAGAGTGAGACTTTGTCTCAAAAAAAACAAACAAACTGTTAAACTTAAGTCAGTAAGACAAAATAGAAAATCAAAATGGTTTTGAAAAATTAAGAAATTGTAAACTGAACAAGCATATATGGAAATAAATGAAGCAGAAATCAAACAATAAAAATAAATAAATTTAATGTATAATATTGGGATTAAAATTAAATTAGATTAGCTGATAAAAGGATTAGTGAAATAGAATAATGAGAATTAAAATCATCAAATTAAACTGATAAAAATACAATAATTATAGATCAATAAAAATACAGTGAGAAAATAGTTTAGTTGCATCTCTAAAGTATAAAAAAAATGATGACAATAATAAAATAAATGATTTACCAGCTTCTAAAATTGAAAGCCTAACATGTGTCCATAAAAGCATAATTGCACTTTTTCAAAAAGAAATCAATACTCCAG